TTTTTCTAAGGTACATAAACTTTTGGGATTGACTGTATAGCCAATACATCCTTAAAAAATTTCCAGACTGTTGAAATGTCGTTTCATCCAAAAAGTACAACGCTGATCAAAGAGCGAGTTAAGAACATTTCCGATCTTGTTTACTCAGCGAATTTCTTAATAGAATAAAGTAAATATTAATTCGATCCAGCGACAATCCCTAGACTGGAAGACCGCCGCGTTTCTCTCAAAACTTTCGAATCCAAACAATCGGTGTTTCTGGGTCCACTTTGCTCGGCGGACTTTAACCAGTTTCTCTGAGAGTTGGCTAGATCGTGAAACTAGATGACGTGATAAGAGATGCGTCTCTCTGGTTTTCCTTACAGAAAGCGGACCGCGGAATTCTGTCTCCCGTTTCCGGGACAATACTCTCAACGCATTTTATCAGCACTTACGAGGATGGAAAAAGAGTGAAAACACCGGCGAAGTAATATCTGCTATATCTTTCCTCCCAGAAAAATTACTGTTCTATTAATTCTCTCCATTCAAACAATTTGCGAATGCATAAATAATGAAATAATTTCGTAACAGGCTCTAACGTATCTGCTAAGAGAATTATCATTATACTGTAGATTTTAGAAGCAATTTCAATGGAAATTTCACTCTTACTTCACTAGTATAAATGTATAATTTTCGATTTTTTACAGAGAACTGAATGATGGATAAGTTTGAGAAGGAAGATTGTGAATATTACTTGGATTCAAAATAATTCTGTAGTTTCCTCTTAAAAATAGATTTAAAAACGGAAAGACGGTACATTTTTGATTGAGCTAATCCTCCACCTTGACGTCAGCTTAATCAGGTTAAATGTTAAACAATCGCGGGACGGATTAACGGGTGCGATTATCGCTGTTTCATCTCGCGGCAGCCGTGAGAGGATCTAGCAATTTCATGGTCACGTACGTCGCGTAAAACATGGTTTCAGCACGTCGCGTCGCGAGGAGCGGCTCAGTTAGATCGAGTTTAGCATTTGTTTGGCGCCGTTCTTAGGGCGATCGCATCACGGTTCGAGTCGACGCGGCGCGAGACGTCGTCGTCGCCGGGATCAACCCGGGTATAACCCTTCCGAATGAAACGCGACTCCCACGTCTACGTGGAGAGATTTATGCGCGATCTGCGACCAACTTTCTCGGCGAGATGCGATCTGCAGGGCTTGGGCCAGTTGCCAAGCCCCCGTCGCGACATTAGAAATTTTTCGGTGAAAAATCCATTTCTTATTTGTAATTCATACTGCTACGTTCGAATACCTTTTACCAAAGTTTCAAGCGTAAAACGTTCGCTATACTTAAAAAACGAAATTGACCTGGACCAAGCAGTTACTCTTTATAGAAGCAATACATTTTTATAATTGTCTGACTCACCAGTCGTTGCCAGTCTTGGTTACATTCTGCCGCTTGCGTCCAGTCTGATGGGGCTTCGGTTCGGCCACCATATTAACATCTGTAACAATAAGAACATATGTCAGCCTCCAACTGGATGTTTGATATCCCAAGTTAACAAATCATGTATGGACTTCACTTAATGAGCCAAGCGTTCTCCCCTCGTATTCCAGCGTGCGACACGGTAATTTGGCACGAAAAAGGGGAGACGCGTGTGACGACGCGAATCGCGATAGAAATCTGTCTCCACGGCTTAATGGCCGGCTCGAATTAATAAAGCGCATGGTCGCCAGGCAGCTTAACGCGTTCGCAAACAGTTATTAATTTCATCCCTTTGCGGGTCCCTCCTCTATGCCGCGCCGGGTACAAACCCCTAAGGTGGATAATGGACGCGGCGTTCGCGAGTGATCAGAACGGTTGAGCCGTTGTGTCAGCGAAATATTCAATTCTTCTGACGTCGGATGGGGCGGAAAGAAAGGCCATTCTATCTGAAGCGTCGCGGTGAATAGGCTTCTGTGGATCTCGATTCTTGGACACGTCTGCCGCCGCGTTGAATATCGAGCGCGGGCAAGCAGCTTACGTGAATTACTTCCGAGCGAATCGATCTGTGTCACTGATGAAAATCTAGGATTCTCCTCATGATCCGTCTTAAGGCTCGGGATTAGGTTCCATCGACCCGTCTCACGATTTTGTTTCGCTCCAAACGAGGTTTCGCTCACCGTCCGAGATTTTCGATTTCCACGAACGATCTTAGAAAATAATTTAATCGACTGAGAACAATTGTGACGCTACACGATGCTCTCAAATATTAGGCGGTTCTCTATTATCGAGAATGATGATTCTGTACCGACAACGGAGGGCAAACATAATCTTAGATGGGGTAGCAGGCTGATTCTCCGGTGGGTGTGTAGCCCGGCACGAAACACGACGCAAGGACCTATCCTTTGTGTAACCTAACCAAACACGTGGTACACGCGAAGAGGGTGTGCGCACACAATCCCTGGCCGCGGCTAAAAGACGGCTCGATTATGACGACTACTTGTACATACCAGAAGGAAATTGTTTGCGTGCCCGCCGCGCTAAGTGAACTGCTCATTATCGTGAGAGCAGACTCCCTAACTAAAATCGAACCATATTTCTGAATATCTTTCGTTTCGTGCTGTGATATTTTCTAACTGTATTTGATTATCATCCCGGAATGGTATTCGGACGTTAATGAAACATTGATGTTTGAATAATTCTGCCCGTTTTCTCTGTGCTCGTAAACTAATCTCAATGCTGGCGCGCTATTTACTTGTACCGGGTGTTTGCCGATTGCACACAATACCTACCTACCCGAATATTGCAAACGCGACGCACAAACGTGTATGAAATCTGAATATTCGTTGCGAGTTGATGCGGAGTTAACGTTAATGAACACGTTAATGCCCATTGACACATGTTTCACGGGAAACACTGCAATAAACGTGCTACATATACACTTGACGTTCATCCTTGTTCGATTCTTTTGACACGGTAGACGAATATTGAATTGTTCAAATATTTCTTAAGGATTTCACAGACATCGCATCGGTTCTTCGAACGTTTTGTGTATTCGCGTTTGAATCTCCCAGGGTGGTGGGTGGTTAGTGGAAATAATTTCATTCGATGAAAACGGGGCGAGGCCGGGCGCGGTAGGGGCGAAGTCGGAGGCGGGTGAATGGCATTTTTATGCATATCGCGAATCGCACGGTCGGAAAAGTCAACGTCGGTGCAGAAATCTGGCAGAAAGCAGCCAGCGAACGACCGGGAAGAGGAAATAGGATACAGTCGGGGATATTTAACCAGGATTATGGCAGCTCGTTTGGTAAAACATTCGCGGAAGTTAAGCGCCTTTCTCCTGCCGGCGCGCGGCGGTGGCCGCCGACACCGCGTCGACGCCGGTCTGTTTTAGATAGCGCCCCCGGGGTCGCTGAGATAACTGTTATCGGGCTGTCTGGCTGTTTTAACGCGGCTAAACCGTTGCCTGATTCTAATTTCTTCGTTGCCCGACAACCGTTAAGAAAAAGTTTAAGGTTGGCAAATATAAATCTCAGAAGCGTTAGCTCGCTCCGACAGCAGATCGTTAACGTTCGCATTCACTTTTTCGACACTTTCAACAAACTTCCAGAGACGAATCATTAATACTAATGAACATTTGAACTGTAATAAATATTCGTTTGATTAAAAAATGTGGATAATTCGTAAAATTTTCAATGCCACGTTCTTCATGAGCATATTTAATTCCGAGGATCAAGACTGAAGCCGCGAGCTCAAGTTCTCGAGAAATCAGCGTGCGTTTAATCAGTCGCGTCATTCGCTCTGTAGTCGTTGTCGTCGTGGAAAGTTTGCTCGATGCTGAATCGTACGTCGGGCGAGGGCGAAGCGCGAGGGCGAGGGAGAAGGCAGGACAGGGTACAAACGGTGGTAGGCGGAAGTCGAGTATCGATGTCATCTGCAAGCACGGTTGAAGGGTGATGCTCTCCCCGTATATCGCGTTGCGAATTGTTCTTCGAACTAACCGCGGCTGCGTCTGTAACCGGCAGCAGCTCACGGTAATGGAATATGACAACGCGAGCCGCATAATGATCAGCCGCTTCTCTGCCTGGCCTGCCTACCAACTTTCGAATAAAACGGCCATTGTCGTTGACGTTCCGAGGAGTTTCGACGACGGTCGCTCATGATAATTATTTTGCGAAAAAACCACGGAATATTATAATGATAATTCATAATCCTATTTATTAATTATACATATCTAATGTTATTTGTTTCAAGACTGATTTCATAAAAGATTTTTATAATAAATGAACGCAGCTAGGAATTAGTATGATCCTCGACAATTCATGAAGCGATGACAAACACGACTAGCGTCTCGCGAACTTAACACGTTAAGTAGAATCTCACTAATTAATATTTTCCGTGGAAACTGATTCAAAAGGTTTCCGTCGTAATTCGAGTCACGCTGCTCTAACCGACGACGGATGAAATTAGGAGATTGACGAAAATGTGTAATAGTACAGGTTATTAATATTTGGTGTAATTTCAATGGAAAAGTTGATCCTATAATCGGTTACGTGGAAAGTGAAATTCATTAAAATTATCCTGAACATCCCGAAGAAAAATGGCAGCCACGGTCGTTAACGGGGCCGACATAACGATAACGGCAACAAAAAGCGCATTTCATACCCCGTTAAAAGTAACTATTTAACAAGCAGACAGCGGGACGGCCGGTTATTATAACGCTCGCTGGAAATCGTTTCCTGCTCATTTTGAAAAATGTTATTCCCCGCGTTTCGCCATTTGACGATTCTTCAGCTATTCAACGCGATGCGACGCGATGGCCGGCGCGGCGATAAAACGAGCACGGTGTAATGCAACAAATCGCGACGTTCGTCATGCTGTCCGCTACGTGACGAGAATGAGAATCGCGAGGTGAAAATAACTGACAGCGGTAGTCTCGGCCCAGACCGACCGATATGCTCGGCTAAAATTGCACCGCAAATTGCCGAGTTGTTTCGAATAGATAATACGTTAATTGGAACTTCGCCAATTAATACGGTCGCGTTCAATGACGATGCTTGACGCAAGTCGCTTTTTCCTAAGATCGACCTTAGTTCTAAATATACCATGTAAAAAGTTTCATAATTTCAGACATGAAGTGCCTACGTAAAAATTCAATCCAGAAGTCTCGAGCCTTTTAATCGATCAGGAAGAGAATCGTTAAAAGCGCTGCAATTTTAGAGGCCGGTGTCATTGTTAGGCTTCCATAAAATTACGAACTGTGGAGACTCGATGAAACGCTTACGCGTATTATGCGACAGACAGGAGGGAAGGAAAACGAGATGGCGAAGTTGAAGAGGAACGTGTACACGCCGCGAGTGGAAGATTTAACGAGGGAACTGATCCATCTTCCATTAGACCGTGCTACGGGCGACGCGCATATGTTTCTCGCGAGAGGTTCGCGAAAATTGAGCTTTGTCGTTGCCCCGACCCTGGTTACATGGTAATTCGGTTTTCAGCTCAGAAAATAACGCGGGAATACTTAATATACATGAAAGAAGCGAGCGTTCCATACAAATATTCTCCGCTCCTGGAACGAATTGCGCTTCGTCTGGAATTCGTATTTTGGATTCGTAAGAAATTGAAACCGTAAAGAAAACGCGAACGACGCGTGGATACGAAGACGTCAGATGTAAACGCATTAAATAAATAAGAAAGTTACGATGTTATCGAATTGAAAAGAGACCTGTTGCTCTTTAATCCGTTTGATATTTCGCGGTGGAATCTATAGACGCTCGAAAGCAAATAAAACGACGGCGAATGATAATCGTCGCGTTTTCACGAGCAAACAAACCGGTCCGTCCGGGACATAAGCCGCTTATACTCATTACGGGCACAAAGGCCGGGAAGAAAAATGAAAATGAAGTGGATGGGAGCCCCATTAATGCCTGTCACGCTTTGAGGGTTGCAAGTGTCGCGAGAGCGTAATTCAAGCGAATTAAGGGCAAAAATCGTGGTTATTTTTCTTTGTAGCAGAACACGATGAAGCGTGTCCCGATCCCCAATGGGTTTATTGGACAGCAAACAAATAATTATTATCGCATTCAATCGATATCAATGTTACATTATTATCCGACGTGCGACGCATGAATTCCATGTGGACCTCGAAATTATTTAGCGATTAATAACAATTCCACATATATCGCAGATCAATATTAATTATAGTAATATCTGTATAACGTTCTCATACATCTTTTAGTATTTGTTTTAAAATAATCGTGAATCGTTAAAATTCTACAATTACCACATTTTTCGTTCGTTTGTCGTGTCAATAGACGAACATTTTAAATAGAAACTGTCTCGGTTCGTACTCGGTGAATCATCGCGATATTACTTCTCACGACCTCTTCACGATTAACCCTTCCCATCGGATGGAGAATACTCGTTCACGAAATTCATAGAACTGCTGCGTTTCAATGTGAACGCTCACACGGAAACTCGACTCGGGGGGTTGTTCGTCGAACAAAGTTTCGTACCAACCGG